ATTTTTATTTTATCACAAACCCTTAAAATCAATGGTTGGAGGGATTCAAAATTAAATTAAAATTCTTTAAAATCAGTGTACTTCTACACATTTATTTATGAAGCAAGTTACAATGGAAGCCCATTAATTATTTCTAATACTATAAAATAATACAAAATATATAAATTACTTATACATTAAATTTGTGTGTGTCCTTGAAAAGGAGCGGAAGGCATTGTTATTTTGCTGTGGGAAAAGGGATAAATGTAACTATAGTGTTTGTGGATTTACTTCCTTGTCAATTTTCCTGCCTTTCCTGTTAATGTCAGATGAGTGACGGTAAACGCAGTGCAATGGAAGTTTGTGAGTATATAAAAACATGTAAGAAAATTTTTTTTTCTAAAAACCTAACAAATGTTAATGAGACGTGACGTGAAATTTGAACTGTAACAGAAATTTCAAAGACATGGATTTACTGCTCTGTAACATGCTAATAATTCAGGGTTGCCCTAAGTTTTTTTTTTAAAATCAGCATTTCTGAACCAACTGCTGGACCGACAACAATAAAAATGTGCTAATTTAATGAGCATTTGTGAGGAATGCAAATAATGTTACTACCCTTACTGATAGCTTGTGAAATATGCTTGGCTAAACTTTGCTTCAAAATTTTCCACTGTTTGCTGAGGCATAGATTCTGATGCTTCAGCAATTAAATTTGTTAAGTCACAGTGCTGTGCATGCAATGTTTGACTCCAGGTGGAGTAGACGTCTAAAAGTAGCTTTAAAGCAAGACCTGCAGCGGACACACTACGCCTAGTTATTACTTTACATCAGAAATAAATCAGAAATCAAATTTGAAGCAGGAAAAAGGCCAGCTTCCTCTCCCTTTTATTCTTGCGACTTAGCACTTATGCTAAAGTGCAAGTTGTAATAATAACCATCGCCTTCACGTTTGGACCGTCTTCATTCATCTATTTCACCACTGCCAATGCTGTACTTTTTAATCTATGACAGATTTCTGCGCTCGCTCTTTAAGAAAGCCTTATGTGATCACACAAAGATCAAAGGTTAG